AGTCTGGGCACGAGCATCTCTTCGCGCATCCACCTCTGGGTTCAGGCAGCTTGCCAGAGGGAGAGGCAGGGGCAGTGGAGCCCTACTCTGAAGAGTAAGGAGCCAAAGAAGTTGGACCTGCTGGGGTGCAAGGCGCATGCTACGGTGGGCCTACAGCAGAGGATCACAAACCAGCAAGCGATGCTCAGCCGGTACACGTTCAGTTCTTGGGTGGCGGTGAACAAATTCAAGGACCAGCTGCCCCAAGCTTCCCAGTAGGAGTTTGCCGCCTTTATGGAGGAAGGAAGCACTGCAGGCAAACAGCTCTGCAGGCTGACCTGGATGCCGCAGACTCGGCAGTTGGGGCCACGGCCACGGGCATTGTTATGCACAGGTGCTCGTGGTCCAGATCTCCGGCATACTGCAGGAGGTCCAGGTGACATTACAGGACCTCCCCTTGGAGGGCTCCGGGCTGTTCTCAGAGCAAACAGACAAGCTACACACCCTTGAATACTCCAGGACCCCCTAAAATCCCTGGACATCCACAGTCCGGCCCCGCAGCGGCATCCACTCAACCAGAGGCCGCAGAGAGGCTATCAGCAAGGGCCGCGGTTTGATAGGAGGAGGGGGGTCTAGGGCTCCCACAGCCAGGGGGAATAGGCGAAGACTGCAGGGTCCCCCTGACCAGAACCCTGGACCCTCCAGTAAGTCCCAGGAGCTGAGGCCCAGCTTTTGAAGGTGCGCCCGAGGACAGAGTTCCAGTCGCTCCCATAGATCAACTCTTCTGCCAGAGGCTATCCCCCTTTTACCGGGCCTGGTGCGCTATCACCACGGACCGTTGGGTACTGGACACGGTACAGAGGGGATACTCTATCCCATTCCTTTCTTCCCCGCCCTCCATCCCCCTTCCCTGTCCCTCTTCAGGGACCCCTCTAATGAGACCCTGCTAAGGCAGGAGATCTCCATGCTACTTTCTCTAGAGTAGGTCCCCCATCCTTCCAGGGAAGTGGCTTTTATTCCCACTACTTCCTGATCCCAAAATCCAAGGGGGGTCTCCGCCCATCCTGGACCTCAGGGGACTCAACGCCTTCTTAAGAAAGTCAAAGTTCAGGATGGTGGCACTAGCCTCCATCATCCCCTCCCTCGATCTAGGAGACTGGTACGCCACCCTTGATTTGAAGGACTCATGCTTCCACATCTCGATTGTTCCCCACCACAGGAAATACCTTCGGTTTACGGTGGGCGAGGACTATTACCAGTTTGCGGTGCTGCCGTTTGGCCTCTCCACAGCGCCCAGGGTGTTCACCAAGTGCATGGCGGCAGTGGGTAGCATTCCTTCGAAGGAAAGAGCTGCACGTTTACCCTTACCTAGACGACTGGCTGATCAGGGCCAGTCGAGGGACCAACTTTTGTCCAACATCGACCTACCCAGGGAAACGTTCTTGGGTTGGGGCTCATACTGAACGAAGAGAAGTCCACCCTTACTCCCACCCAAGTGATAGAGTTTGTGGGGGCATGTTTGGATATGACGTGCGGCCGGGCGTCCCTCCCACATCCATGGTTCCTGTCCCTGGGCGACATCTTTCGCAGCCTCTAGGCTGCCCCCATGACCATAGCGCAGAACTGCATGAGGCTTTTGGGTCACATGGCAGCATGCACGTATGTGGTGCGCTACGCCAGGCTCCACCTCAGGCCTCTCCAGAACTGGCTGGCGACAGTGTGTACAGGCCAGCCCGCGACCATATCGACCTGGTAGTGACAGTCCCTCCAGCAATCCTATCGACCTGAACTGGTGGCTGAGGAACTCTGAAGTATGTGAAGGAGTCCCGTTCCACCACCCCTCCCCCACGGTCCACCTGGTGACTGATGCATCCGACGCAGGATGGGGTACAAACCTGGCGGATTTCCGTATGCAAGGTATGTGGTCGGGGGCAGAGAGGACCTTGCACATCAGTGTCAGGGAGCGAGGGCAGTTCGGCTGGCTTGTCGGACATTTATGCCCCAGCTATGGGAGAAGTGTGTGTCCGTTCTCACGGACAACACGACGGCGATGTATTACATCAACCGTCACGGTGGTGTTCATTCCTCTCTCCTGTGCCAGGAGGCCCTAGCCCTCTGGGATCTGTGCATTGCACACGAGGTTCATTTGCAGGCCACTTACCTGCCAGGGTCATGCAACACCCTGGCGGACTTAGGCATTTGCTTGGAATCACTTAGACGGAATGGGCATAAGCAAGCACTCGAAGAAAAGACGGTTACTTGCCTCGTAACTGCTGTTCTTCGAGATGTGTTGCTTCTGTCCATTCCGATCCCGCCCACCTCCACCTTCATCGGCATCTCCAGCAAGAAGGAACTGAGGGGGTGGCGGGCCAGCAGGGGGCTATGCGCTCGGATATGCCAGCACCACTCCCGGGGGGCTCCCTTGCTGGCCCAACGGGTACTGCTAAGGGCAAAAAGCTTCCGGAACTTGTGCACGGGGCGCGCACACCTAGACGGAACGGACGTAAGCAAGCACTTGAAGAACAGCAGTTACGAGGAAAGTAACCGTCTTTCCTCTTTCCATGGCTGCCCCATGATTTGGTGACGTGTGCCCAGCAGACCAAACCACAGTTGCTACAAGTGACTCTTCTCCATGAGATGCTTGGAGAGCAGGTAGTTCGCTCCCCCCAAGGAGCTCATATTGCTGCAGTAAGGGCTGCAGATGATTCAGTAGCTGGCCGGATCAGTGCCGAGCCCCCAGTCCTGAAGTACTGCCCAGCAAGGCATGTGGGGCTGCAGGAAACTCCATCTCTGGATGGCAAGATCCCTTGCAGCTTGTCTGGAGGTGGGGAGGGTGCCCTGGCCCACTTATATGTGGTTAGCTACATTCTCCTGGAACTCCCTTGCCACTCTCATGGGATTGTCATCCCAGTCACTCTGTGCTCTGCCCAGGAGGGTCAGGCCCTGAGGATGGAGCCCCCAGTCAGTGCTGGTTGCTGTACAGACCATCTCCATCTCCATCTCCATCTCCATCTCCATCACAATGTTAGTCACTGGCCCCCTGCAGCACTGTTGGATCTAGCCAGCAGGATGGATTTATGTAAATCAAGTTACCAAACAAGCTAAGACTGACTGAACGTAAAGTTAATTTTGGAGCAAGCCCCATTGAACTCAATGGCACTTCTGTGTTTTGAGAGAACAAGTACAGAATGGGGTTCCCTAGGAAACGCTGAATTATCAGGGAATAGATTTTAGACATCACCATTCTGGTCTGGGCCATGCTGTTCCAAAATAAGGGGCGTGTGTTATGCGATATAAACTAAGAAAATGCCACACAGTGGCAACTGGCACCTCAAGATCTCTCTTGCTGTGCTATGTGTGTACTTGGCTGATAGCATCTAAACCTAGTTAACTCATTAAACAATTGTAAAATAAGGATTAGCTCAGCTTAACTGTTTTTTCTAGCAACGTTCAACACAGCAAGCAGGCTGGGATTTTACTTGTCAAATCACATTTATACTGAAAGACAGGGAGAGAGGCTTGAAGAACAGCCTGGAGTTTTTACCCACGGAAGCTTACGCCCAAATAAATCTGTTAGTCTTTAAGCTGCCACAGGGCTGCTCCCTGGTTTTGGAATTAAGTTACTAACCAGTTAATCCATTCGGCCATATCCAAAGCTTCATCCACATCCTTTTGTCCCAATAAGCAGTTTTCCTTATGATGCCTTCATTCTTGCAGCTGGGCCTGCATCTTTTTCTTGCTCTGCTTACGCTTGGCGCATTTTCCTTTTACAGGGAACAAATTCCTTCAGATATTCCCAGATAGGGTCCCTCACACCCAGAAGCCAGGACAGTTTTTCTGTGGAGAAAGTGTGGGGGAATAGAGGAAGCTGTGTTTGTGCTGAATAGTGTCTTCCCTTTTTCTTCCCAGTCCACTCCACTGTTCCTATCTATGCTGCCTCTGTCCTTTCCTATCTATTGTCTCTGTCTTTAAAACAGTGTCTTAACTCCTCCTCTGCTCTGCTCGGCCAAAGTCCACCATCGCATAAGCACAGAACAAACACAATCCCATCCAGCCTTTGCCTGTCTTTGCAGATGTTCATTGTTAGTGTGCTGAGAAACAGAAATGGAAAGTTCTGAACTTCCAAGCAGCAAGAGCTGATTAATAGGTTGGGCAGACTGGAGCCATTACTGCTTTTTTCCTGAGACGGTCAGTGTAGGGGTAGCATGCATGTGATGAGACTGAATTGTAATTGTCATTTAAAAATGAGAAATTTAGTACTTTATTGATGATTTAAAAAAAAATAAAAATATATATATTTTTTTAATCATCAATTTTTATCCACCGTGGTAGCCTGTGTGGCCTCCCAGCTCGAGCACAGGGCTGGGACTCTGGAGATCTGGGTTCTGTTCCCCGCTCTGCCACTGGCCTGTTGGGTGACTTTGGGCAAGTCACGTCCTTGTTGTGAGCCCCCATTTCCCCATCGGCGAAGTGGAACTAGCACTGGTCTTTGTAGAGCATTTTGAAATTATTTGGAGCCACAAGGACTAGTCATTACAATGTAAACTGCTAAAACGATAAAGAGAAATTTAAAAAATCGACAAGATACAGAAACTGTTTCTGTGCTCGTTTCATTTAATTTGGCATGGTTAAAAGCAGCATTTTTCTTTTGTTAAGTCATTGCTCAGTTGTAAACTTTTAAAAGAACCGTAATGTTTTGATCAGAGTTATGAATGGTGTTTAGAACGCCAAGATTCTACCGTAGAATTATTCCTGTTGTCATTCCCACTTCACTGCTTACGAGTCAGGATTTCCTGATTCCTGGCAACATCCTAGAAACATATTGCAATTAATTATGTTGTGGGTTTCAAAGGTGGCGCTCCCTTCCTTTAAATACATCAGAACAGGCTGCATCTGTAGTCCTACAACATGACAACCCTGCCCCACGCTGACTGAGGCCTCTGATGTATCCGTTTCTATTGGGGCCTCCCTTTCATGTCATAAAGTGAAACTAACTTTATTGTTCCCTTTTTGGCTTCCAGAAACATCCCTTCATTCTGATGTATGAGGAGCGTGTAGTGGACGTGGCCTGCTATGTCTGCAAAATCCTGGATCAGATGCCAACGACGCCCAGCTCTCCGATGTACGTTGATTGACGCTGCTGCTTCCTCCAACTCTAGAGAAAGGGCTGAGAGAAAACAAGCTGTAAAGAATTTTCATCACCTATTGCAGTGTGTTTAATGCTCGCCCAGACACCATGTGCAATAATATTGGTGTTCTTTCCATCCTGTCTGTATACTATTGTCACATAGAAAGTGCATCCCTGTTATACCTGATCACACAGTGTTAGTGTGGGTCACAGAGAGACCTCATCTTGCTCTTTTGTGGACATATTCATGAAATGTGGAAATAAGAACATTTATTTGTTGACCGTGATTGGATAGCACCTAAAAATCATTTCTAGACTCAAAACTTGGAGACTTCTCAGCGGCTACTGGAAAGATTTTTCTCTCAAACTCTTCCAATTATTGTTTCAAGTAATAATATTAAAATGGTAAGCATTGTTTGTCTGAACATAACGAGACTTTGCCTGGAGGAAGAAGAACTTGCATAACCGACGAGAATCTTTACGCCTCAGAGTTGGAAAGGCAAAGGAGAATTTTATTCTTCACAAAGTGCAATAGATTTACTGTTCTGAAATTCTGTTGCTTTACAGTCTCAAAGTATTTTTTGGGACAGTGCTCAGCTGAACTTCCTGTAAAAGAGAGATCATGTTAAATATAGTGAATATGTCTTTACCAAAAATATGATGCATTGAAAGAGGTTAACATTAAAATATTCAGAGATGAGACATAATGTATTCTTCTCCCTTTTACCAAGCCAGCCACTTTTCATTATAACTAGCCACCCTGTAAATTGTTACCTGCTAAGATAAGACCTTTGACCTGAAAAATTATTAAACTACTCGATTAAATTTAACCTGCTTGTGACCTGATTTATAGCTGCACAGTGCTCACTAGCTGGCTTTGCTCTTACTCAAAAAGTGCAGTGTATAGCCTCTCCAGCTCATTTTGGTATGCCACGGTTTAGTCTATGGCGTGGTTATTCAGGAAATATGTATAATTTCTTTCCTGTTCCAAAATCACAATCTATCACCTTTTCACAGACCACCAGGCTCTCCTCCTTATCCATCACATGACCAAATCTCTGTGGCTCTCCTTCTAGCCACCTTTATCCAGGACTAGGATTCAGAGCTGTCCTCCTCCAATTTAGCTGTGGCAATGCACACTGCTGTAAATAGTATATTCTGTTCAGCTTGTCTTCTGTGATTCAGAGTGGTCCTAATTATTGTATGCAGATCTGAATTACACTTGAGTTGCTCAGAGCATGCTGGAAGTCTGGATACCCTGGAAATTAGCATGGTTTTTTAGCATCGCCTAGTACATCCATCCAGATGTGCTCTTCTGGCCAACAGTTAAACTTGAGCTGAAATTTGATCTTTTTAAAATGACAAAATTTCATGCAAACATTCTGATTGTTTTCAAAACGTTCAAAATCTTCGGTAGATTATAAATGAGAAACTGGGTCTGGAAGAGAGTTCCCAGATTTGATGCTGCGATTTTCACTTGGTTGGCCTAGCCAGCTAGTGAGGTTTTCTCAAAATCAGAATGTTCCATTTTTATAAACACTTCCTGGAAAATTTGAAAACCAAAAGTGGAGGGTTCAAAAGAGACTGAGCAAAGCTGCCCTGTTGCCGGCGTTCTTGTGGGACGTTTTCCCCACTTCCCAAGCAGCTCTCCCAAACACTTAGACTATGAGAAGACAGCTGGAAACCAGCCCTCAGCCCCATTCCCCCCACGTGTGTTCAGCTGAGGAAGGAGAGAGCCCCGTCCCTTTTGGGCTGTGACTGAACTATTGCCCTTGACTCCCAGCACTTCTCCAGACTCTTTGGTGATGGCTTTATGAGGCATGGCTCTGTTCCAGGCTTGCCCATGCTAGCTGTCCTGAGCAATTGCTGAGCATGTTGGCTGCTTCTCTAGGGCCCTGGATACCCTCAGCTCCTTCTGCCGTCAATCGGAAAGGAGGGTTCTGAGCCGAGCCCCGCCCAGGCCCATGGTGTATTATGTTCCCACTTCCTGAAGCTCCTCTCTGCCCTGTGCTCAGAATTCGGCAGTGGAGCGGGAGGTGAAAGCTTTGCCTGTCTATGCTGACAAAAGCAAACCCGAATTCTCCTAGGCGATGGCTCCGTTTCCTTAGCACCTTCAGTTAGTCGGATAAGACGATTGAAAGCATTAGCCATGAAGCATTCGCGGTAACACACTTCTCCTTGCACCCTCCCGCCAGGAACTTTCCACCCGTTCGCCCTGGCACCATCCCCTGCAATCATGTGTGGCCTCGTGCCCTGCCCCACCCCACCATCTTCAGCAGGGCCGGCACATTTCTGTGCAGCTTCTAGGAAATGGTCATTAGATGCTTTGCATTCCCGGTGTCAAAGCCAAGTTCAAAATGGGCTGTGGCAGCAGCTGTCCAGAAAGGCAAATCTAGTGTATTAATCAGAGGGTGTCGGAAACTATTACGGTGCCGCATTTATTACAATGTATCTTTATTTTTTTTAAAAGGTGTATAGTGTTCAGAAGCTGTGAAAATAGTGTAAGAGCTGTACATTGTGAGCGCTGGTTATTTCTCTTGTACCATCGACATATGTATAAAAGTGATCACGCTGATGTGCAGGGATGTTGCCTTCTTGTCTGTACCATGGAGCTTGGTAACGTAAACTGCTTCAAAGATCTTCAGAATATTGTCTCCTATATTCTGGTTTGACTCCCTCCGCTATTTAATATGCTGCACCTGGAATCCAAGTGTCTCTGTAATAGCTCTGCCCTTTGCCTGCAGGCCAGTTGTAATAAAACTAGGATGCGACTGTGACCTTGTTATTTTTATTTGATAAGGTCAGAGACACCGTGGGAGGACCCTGTAAATGCTGTTGAAATATCCAATTGCCATCCTCGGCATCCAGCCAGACTCTGGGACACTGGCCCATACAGGGTGCAGTCCTTGGTTCTAAATTGGTTGTCAAATAAACACCAAGTGTCCAGAGGACCCCCTGCTCGCTCTTCCTTCGCCTGCAATGGTGGCAGTTGCTGTGTGCTGGCAGCTGTCTCTCTTTGCTGCCCCACAGCCCACTCCACAGCTCAGAACTGAGCTGTAGTATTGTTGCCCCTTTGGACCAAGCTTTTAGCCAATATTTGGGGCCTTGCTTGGTTCTTTCTGTTTGGAGCAGGGCTTGGTGATATGAATCAGATCCCTTCTTTGGTGAACCTTGTGCAAAGAACGTATGTAAGTTCCCATTCCCCTGGATGCTGTAGGTACATACAGTAGCAGGAATCCCCCACCTGCCTTTCCACCCTTCCATGCCCAGGCACCCTGCTTGTTGCTCAGGGTCTGCATGCTGCCTCCTGGCTTCCCTCTCAGTTTGCCCAATCCCAGGGAACCCGGCTTCCCAAGTAATTCATCTTGACATGTGGCTCTTGTCTCAGATGGCCCTTCGTTTGCCAGCAATTGTTATGTAAAACAGGCTTCATTGCTCCTTCCATTTACCCACAATGGGTGCCTAGCAAACCCCACATGTTTGTCTAGTGACCAGAGACCCTCATCTCAGCCATTCACCTCTTGCCAGGTTGTTAGGGGCCTGTTTCTGATCTCACTTGGGGGGAGGGGGGGGGACTCCGCTACCTGCATTTCAGTTCCAGCTGATTGACATGGTCCATTGGTTCATGCCAGTGATTTCCACTGGGTACAGGACTGCTGGCCTCTGCCCAGTGCTGTGTTGCCAGCCAGGACTCCCTGTGCAGAAGCAGATGCACTTTCCCTCCGTTCTCTTTTCCCTGCCTCCATAGTGAGGGATTCCTGCCCTGCCTTGTATGGGCTGGCAGGTGTGCTTTCCGTGTTCACTCATTCACCCTCGCTATTGTAGCAGCCATGCTGCAGCTGCCCTGGCCTCCAGCACTCCCTCAGGCTGCAGAAAGGGGCCCCGTGCAGTGAAGTCCCCTTGTGCCAGGAGGGGGTGGATGCCTGCCCATCCGTCAGTGGCACAGGAAAGGAGCAGGGTCAGCAGGGGCTGGCGGAGGGTTCATAGTCACCCGTTTGCTTTCCCAGTAGCACTGGCCCTTGCCTGGCTCTTCAGTTGCAGCCTCTCCTTTGCTCCATGGCCTGTTCTCTGCTGCACTGCTGGAGCAGGTCATTGAGTGACATCCCATTCCTCCACATCCCTCTGAACTACGTGCGCCTCCTCTCTGGTGACCATGAACCTCATTCTCCCCTGGAGAGGGTTCATAGTCACCCGTTTGCTTTCCCAGTAGCACTGGCCCTTGCCTGGCTCTTCAGTTGCAGCCTCTCCTTTGCTCCATGGCCTGTTCTCTGCTGCACTGCTGGAGCAGGTCATTGAGTGACATCCCATTCCTCCACATCCCTCTGAACTACGTGCGCCTCCTCTCTGGTGACCATGAACCTCATTCTCCCCTGGAGAGCGTCTATCTTCAACCCCTCCGTGGATGTGTGGGCAACTCCCAGTTCTCCTAGCCTCCTTCCCCAGCAGTGAGTGCTATGACCCCCTATGCTGCCCCGGTTGTCTGCTGCCTTCCTCTACAGCGACAGTCCAGTAAGATGATTCTTTTCTCATCTGGTAGTTTGACAAGTTCTCTTTTCAATAAAGCCATTTGATTGGCATTAATTCTATTGCCCCTTTAATTCTTAATGCATCAAGTTCCATGCCATTGATCCCATTAGTTTGTACAGTATTGATGTCAGGCTGACGGGCCTACTCTGGCTCATGCCATTTACGCTTTTTTGGTATTGACACTTTCTTCCCTCCCTCTGTATCTTCCCAGTATTTTGAGAATTATTGAAAATCAACATCAATGGTCCAGAGAGGTCTCCAGCCAGCCCATTTAAAACTTGAGTGGAAAATATTTCATCACCATACGATATGACAGCACCATTTGGCTTTTTTCCCCAAATAGAGAACTAAAATATTTCTTGAAATCTCTCCCTTTGCTGCATCATTGACAATTAACTGTTCCAGGCATACAGATCAGTACAACGGTTAGGATACCTTTTGTTCTTAATATACTTTAAAAAGACTCCCTCTTGTATTTCCCTTGGCTGGCTACAAATTTCTCCTTGTGTCCGTTTGCTTCTAGTAGAAACTTTCTACCATTCGGAGTTGCTAATTTATTTTCATTCTTCTCAGCATCTCCTTTCCCCACGTGTTATATTTAAAATGTAGGTTTTTAGCCAGTTGTCGGGCTTTAGAGGGAACTGTCCTTTGACCCCTCAAGGCCCTGCCGTGGGCTCCTATCTACATCACATGCTCCCCTCCTGTGCTGCTTGCAGCATGGAATCCTGCAATCTGGCCGACTTCAAGGTTGTGTCGCCAGCTTACACTACCCCTGTTCACTGGCCTGAATTTGGGGAGAGAGACAAGCTTTTGCTCTTTTCTTCAGGCCTGAGAAAACAAAATAATGTTTTTGTTCGTAGCAGCAGCAAACAGTAAGGATTTCAAATAAGAAAAGCCCTACCCACATGTTACCTACCTTACCTTAGATTTCCCTCCAGATCTCAGTAGGCCCAACTTACCCCTTGTACTCCAACAGCTGAGAGAGGAACCTTGGGGAGAGAGACAAGCTTTTGCTCTTTTCTTCAGGCCTGAGAAAACAAAATAATGTTTTTGTTCGTAGCAGCAGCAAACAGTAAGGATTTCAAATAAGAAAAGCCCTACCCACATGTTACCTACCTTACCTTAGATTTCCCTCCAGATCTCAGTAGGCCCAACTTACCCCTTGTACTCCAACAGCTGAGAGAGGAACCATATTTCCACAGCAGCCTCTGCTTCCTCACAGCTCCAGGGCTGAGGCCTTTAACACCACCTACCTCCCAAATGTTTTGCATTATTTTCCCCACTTGGCTGCCCCTTCCTACCTAACGTTTTGCCAGCCAGCCTGTGAATCTGATCGTGGGAGGAAGGGATTGTTATGGAAACACTAGTTCACAGGGTGCAGTGACTGGGTTTTCTAGAGCAAGTGACTGCAGGTGCCTGCAAACGCCACCAAAGACTGACTGAACATTTTCACCCAGGACGCAGACAGCACTGCAGCGATAGACAAACAGCCAGATCACTCTCAACGTGTCATAGTCAGAACAATCATATTCTCCCCCCCCCCACTTCTGTTCACATGTTTGTGAGCTGGGGCTGGATACAATACTTGTCGCATTAGAAAATTGTCCTTTGCAACGCATGGAAGTTAGGAGGCTGCTTTAACACTGGTAGCATGAGATGCCCAGAACGTCTCACGCTGCTTGGAGTTACCAGTGAGAACCGGCTTTTACCTGCACATTAATGAGAGGTGCCAAAGGAGCTGGCCGCCTGGTCCCTAGTGTGGCCCACACCAAACAGTCCTCACCTTGCGCTTTGCCTACTAAGACGCTGCTCCAAAAGAATTGGAGAACGTCATCTTGTCAGCCGTCTGGCATGGGCACGGGGGTGCCGTTTGGCTGGCGAGTGGCTGCTCCCCCACCCCCTTTGCGCACTTGATTCTCCCCAAGAAGTTAAAAACCATTGATTTTAACATTCCCGGCATGCAGCTGGGCAGCTCCCTGGACGTCTGCGGGTGAAGGAGCCGGGGTGAGTTGGTTCTCGTGGATTCCTTGTGCCTGGATAATCAACAGTGAGTCGGTCTGTTCGGGGAGGGATTCTACTGAGCCTTGGGCCTGACAGGCAGGCTGAGAGCATCTTCTGGAGGCTTTGATCCCTAAGCCCTGTAGGAGCCTTAAACAAGGGGCTACTCTGGAAGCGACTGGACGTCTGCGGGTGAAGGAGCCGGGGTGAGTTGGTTCTCGTGGATTCCTTGTGCCTGGATAATCAACAGTGAGTCGGTCTGTTCGGGGAGGGATTCTACTGAGCCTTGGGCCTGACAGGCAGGCTGAGAGCATCTTCTGGAGGCTTTGATCCCTAAGCCCTGTAGGAGCCTTAAACAAGGGGCTACTCTGGAAGCGACTCGGGAAGAACAGGGATTTAAAAACCCAGCTCCAAAGTGACCACAGGCGCTAGCAGCCAGGAGGGAGTTTACTTTGGCGCACAGTGTTTGCAAGAGTAAAGCTCCAGCAGGCAGATGTCCAGCAGAGCAGGGCGTTGCCCGTTCGTGGCACCAAAGGCAGCACGTACAACTCCCTGGCTCGCAGGCAGGCGGCGTACGGCCGAATGCTGTGCAAGCAGCTCTTGGCCCATGGAGAATGAGTGCAGGATCCTGAGACCAGAGCAGCTGGACTGGAGGAGCTGAGGGAGGCAGAGGAGAATTTCCAGGACAGTCTCTGTGCTCTGGAGGAGCAGGAAAGTCTCAGGAAAGGAGAAAATCAAGCTGGTGCGGAGGGAAATTATCCCACAGGTGGGGTCCTACAGTGTCCTCTCCCACAGGGGATACATCCCAGGCGGGGACTCCAGGTAATTGAGATGGAGGGTTTGGTCATTCGAAATGTGGATGTCTGGCTTTGTGACGAATGGGAAAACCACCTGGTGAATTGCCGCCTGGGTGCAAAGGCTGCAGTTTCTGACGCTGTCTAGACAGATTTCCGTGCAGTGCTAGGAAGCAGGAAGCGATTGTGCCAGGGCGACACGGTAGAAGGGAGGCCAAACGTAGGCTGCTAGATAAGAGATTAAAGTCCAGGCTCCCATGGCAGCATTTCCTGAAATGCTTCCAGCTCCAAGGCCCCAGCACGTTAGACAGGCAAAACTGCAGGGTCTCAATGCGTGGATGAGGCCATAGTGCAGGGAGGAGAGGGTAGGTTTATTATGGGATAGCGGGGAATCTTTTGGGAAAAGCAGAGCCCCTAGAGGACGAATTAGCTCCACCTGCCCTAAAATGGAGCAAGGT